AATAGATTAAAGGTATGGAATGTCATCAAATTACTACTGTATGCAGAAGCTCATTAAACAGGTCTTCTGAAAGAGGTCTTTTTGAGAATACAAGTTTTTCTAAAATGGATTTAAGTTATAGAAAGGAATTCTGAGATCAAAAATAAAGTAAATAATGGAGAATACTATGTCAAGATTAATATCAAAAATACTCATAAAGTTCAAATGTTTTCTGTAAGAGAATAATAAATAAACAGGACTAAAGGTACAACTAGTAAATCTGGGCAATGGATATATGTGATTTCCTTATTACAACTTTTCTATAAATTAGTAACTATATCAAAACAAGTTACACTCCCCACCTCCCCCAACCCACAAAAAGTCTTCTGTGGCACCATGCCAGAGTGCTTAAATATTTTTTGGTGCAACTGATTACATTAAGGCTTTTAGGGAACATTATATTTTGCCTTCTTCCTTTCTAAATTTTATCCTATTATTTGTCCACTCAGTAAATATAGGGAAAAATGCCACGAAAAGTTCATTTATATTCCATATGCAACTAAATTCAATTTAAATGGAAAAATCAAACTGCTTTTATTTCCAACATCTAAAATCACAACATACACAATGAATAGAGCACTGAAAAGATTACCTTTTCTTTTTCTGTTGCCACCAGGGAAATGGCCAGACCCATCCTGAAAGATTTTAAAAGCTTTTATTAGACTTTACTCCTAAAGCATAGAAGCTTAAAAAGAGAGAGAAAGAAATTACAGCCATACCTTTCAGCTCTTCCTACTCTACCAATTCGATGTACATAGTTTTGCTTTTCATCAGGCAGGGTGACATTTATAACTGTAAATAAAAACAATTATTACCAATTGCCATTAGTTTCTAAATTTTGCAAACATGTTAGACGGCTTTACTTTAGATTCCATAAAACTCAAACTGCAGGCATAAAAAATTTCTTTTTACCATAAGGAACACCATGGATATCAATTCCTCTGGCAGCTACATCTGTGCAAATCAAGAATCTTACATCTCCTTTCTAAAGAGAACAAAGAAAAGAGAAAGGAATTTGTTAGTACATACACTAAAAAATAAAAACAAATTCTATCAACGAAATGATACCTCAAATAACTAAAATGTTGCTATCAGAATAGAGGTCCAGATACTCATAATTTACTGACCAAGTCTTGAAGTTTTACATTATGATCTGCTGAAACATGACAAAGTGAATAAATCAATGACTAAATTCATTCTTGCTTTTCTTTTTCTTACATCAAAGATATTTAACTGCTAAAATTTGACTTTATCTTTAGAAATCCTTAATCTTTAAAAATATCTTTAAAGGCCGGCCCGGTGGCGCACTGCGCTAGTGCGCCGCTTGGGAAGTGCGGCTGCGCTCCCGC